TACAAGCATCTGCAAACTAAGCCCCAAAGGCAAGAGCAGCATGCAACAAACAAATAAGCCTCTGCAAAGACCCGAAGGCAAGAGCAGCATGCAACAAACTAATAAGCATCTGCAAAGCCCTGATGGCAAGAGCAGCATGCAGTAAACTAATAATAGCATCTGCAAAGACCCGATGGCAAGAGCAGCATGCAGTAAACTAATACGCATCTGCAAAGCCCCGATGGCAAGAGCAGCATGCAGTAAACTAATAAGCCTCTGCAAAGCCCCGATGGCAAGAGCAGCATGCAACAAACAAATAAGCATCTGCAAAGCCCCGATGGCAAGAGCAGCATGCAAACAAACTAATAAGCATCTGCAAAGCCGTGATGGCAAGAGCAGCATGCAACAAACTAATACGCATCTGCAAAGCCCCGATGGCAAGAGCAGCATGCAACAAACTAATAAGCATCTGCAAAGACCCGATGGCAAGAGCAGCATGCAACAAACTAATAAGCATCTGCAAAGCCCCGATGGCAAGAGCAGCATGCAGTAAACAAAAAAGCATCTGCAAAGCCCCGATGGCAAGAGCAGCATGCAACAAACAAATAAGCATCTGCAAAGCCCCGATGGCAAGAGCAGCATGCAACAAACTAATAAGCATCTGCAAAGCCCGGATGGCAAGAGCAGCATGCAGTAAACAAAAAAGCATCTGCAAAGCCCCGATGGCAAGAGCAGCATGCAACAAACAAATAAGCATCTGCAAAGCCCCGATGGCAAGAGCAGCATGCAGTAAACAAATAAGCATCTGCAAAGCCCCGATGGCAAGAGCAGCATGTTAAATAAACCGTAAGCTCAAGGACCTGCAAATAGCCCGTTGGCAAGAGCAGCGTAAAGCAAACTCAAACAATAGCAAGCATCTGCAAAGCTCTGAAGGCAAAAGCAGCATGCTAAATAAATTAAAACATATCACGTTAAAACTGCCACGTGTAACACAAGTGGACGAGAATGTGCGAAACAAAACGACTGGTACCAAAAGACAACCGAATATAGAATTACATAAAACGACAAATAAACTGAACTAAGGTAGTAGAAATAAAACAGAAAACCCGCAAAATACTAGAGGCAAAAAGCGAGCATGAAGGCAAAATGTACCGGCAGGAAGAAAACGCGAAGGGAACGCGAAAACCGTAGGAAGAGAAACAAATATAAAATACCTGAACATGATAACAAATAAGTTTCCTGGTCAGTCGAAGTAATAGCAGAAGCGGCCAAAATAGCTTGAGCGGCAGCAACATTTTCAGTTGAAACTTGTGCGGGTTCGACAGGCATAGCGAAGGTTGATAAGCTTAGTGGATTTTTTATGAGGAAACATGCGATTATAACCAGGGGCGGATCCCTGCAGGAATTTTAGAAAGAGGGGGCCGTAGAAATTTCTATGAGAGACAATCTGGGCGCATGCCCCCTGGAAAATTTTGATAATTTTAAAAGTACTCTGAGATGCAATCTGGTGCATTCTGGACGCTTAAATATGGCAAATGCTAAAATCCCATATTGAACAAGAAATGTTGAAATATTTAATCAAATGCAGTTGTGGTTGTGGTCAAACATGACTTGAATCAACTCGAACTTTTGAACAAACGAAATCCTAGTAACCGGAGTGGTATGGGAGCTAATTAAACTAGAGTCATCCCATCTCCATTGGATCGATGAATGCAAATGCGTCATAATCCAAAGCCATAGGGAAGAAAAATATATCTCTAGTAACGAAAGCAAAAGCTCTGAAAATAAAACAAAACCCGGATACCATCCGATAGACGTTGTTTTCAAAAAAGAAAAACATATCCCAGACAAAAGGGGGAGGCCGCGGCCCCCTCGGCCCCTCCCCTAAATCTGCCCCTGATAACGGTAGTATGCCTGAAGCTCAACTTGTAGGTAGGGTTCAGAGACACCTTGTATTTGTCATAAATTTAAGGTGGCACTGAACCCCTGAACTCTGCCATAATATTTCGTGGAAGTGAACTATTCAGGTGGTAGAATAAGTATGGAGTCAGGAGTTGTACTCGAAATAATCAGGAATTTAGGCTGCTTTGCCATCTGGTCTGGTGTGATGTATTTAATTTATTAGACCCGGGCCAAACGAGGATGAGATTTGTTAAGAGTTGCCTCTGATCTCATGAGAGTTTTCTTCAACTGTCATCGATTATCAATCATTATCATCAAGCGTGGACCAATTATCATCAAGCGTGGACCAAACAAGAGAAAACTCTCAAGACAAATTTGAGCATGTTCAAATTCAATGAGATAGCATGAGAGTTGATGAGAGTCGCTGAGAGCGTATAAGAGTTTCAGGCGGCCAAACGAGAGTGAGCGAGAGTTTGAACTCTCGACAATTCTCATCCTCGTTTGGCTCGGGCATTAGTCGTGAAAAAGTCTGTTTGCATGCATCTTCAAGTGCGATGCTTTATTTTGTACGCCGTAGCATGACTTTATTTATATCTTTCATCTTGGATGAGTACGTAAGCTACCAATCAACGTTCGATAAAGGCGGAATAATTTACCTTGCCATAATAAAGAGAAAAATGAGCGGAACGAGAACAACACGTACGAGACTGATATGAAATTAATCGAACATTAATGACGAGTGGAACATTGTTTGTGGTCTTAATGCATTGTACTATACATATTTCTCTGACTTGGATTTCTTTCAGCTTTAATTAAGCCAGCGAATTGCCAAGACTTTGTCCCTAGTCATTGCAGTGAACAAGATCCTATTTATATGAAAATTGGTCTCTTATATAATTAACTACTGGGAGGAAATTGTGGTAATGTAGTTGTTTTGCTCGATTGCACGTAGCCTGAGATCAGGCTCCGAGAGAAATCGCCAAGCGTTCGTTCCGCCCCAGTCCGCGCTGATTTCTCTCGGAGCCTTATCTCAGGCTAGGTCGCGCGCTATAATTTGATAAAGATCGATCATAGCCACGTCATTTCGCTCCCGAGATGGAGATGGAGTTCAATACAAGTAAACGTGGGCCGTTGAACAGCTTTTAAACGCTTTCAAAGCTATCTTTGCTGTGACGCCAATATTACTTTCTTCAGCCGTTACTTGAAATAACTTCACAGTCACAGTTTTACTCGTGTAAAACATGAATACCTCCATTATCCATTGGTTGTTTGGATATGGTTATGATATACCCATAGAGATGGGTGGCAATCGGAAAAGTGTGATTAAAAATTATGACGTCACGCTGAACTTGGCTTAACATTTTTTATTACTTTTACAAACTGTACAATTTTTACGTCACACTTTACCACTCTATTATCTACCCGCCCCACTGGCACCTTCCAAAATGAAATATATTCTATAAATCTTCCGGAAATATTTGAAAACCTTTTGAAAATGGTACTTCCAAGAGGCACGTGACATGCGTTTATGACGTCATATGACGTGGAAATTAAGACATGATTTCCGAACAGCCGCCATCTTGGATATCTTGATTTTGTTTTCGTGAGGTCATAAAACCATCAAAACTGATTCAAAACTAATAAAACCAGTAAAATGATGCTAAAATGATCTAAAAATGTAAACGATATTACAAGAGAGTTAAAAATTTTCATTAAAATCAGGAAAATTCTAAATTTGGAAAAAAATAGAGTTCCGTTAACAATTATATGTCAAACCAAATTGTTCCCAAGTCGCAAAGTTTGGCAGATTTGGCTTAAATATATAAAAATGTATACCTAATTGTTTAAAGCTCCCCGGTTAATATTGTTAATGATGTTCAATGCAGCGTTCTATTCGTAGTATTTTCCCAAATGCTGTGCGGTACTTCTTGCTTCTCATGCAATAAATGTAAGGATTAATTGCTGAGTTACAAGCCAGCAGAGTTTGAACCCAGGGAAAACATTTTCTAAATTGAGCCGGTTTCGTTGAAGGGTTGACAATGGCTGGAAGTAGAAGCACAGGTACCCAACACAATGCATAAATCCCCACCACTGTGAAAATGGTTTTAGCTACTTTTTTCTCCGCCACGGTCCCAGTTCCCGGATGTATGTTCTGTATTATGTTTTCCTGACGTTTGGCAATAATGAAAATGTAAATGTACATGATTATGATGGTGAAAAGCAGAGTAGCGCTGTAAAATGCGATGTACATCCTTGGGACCAAATTAGGAGCGTACAGGGCGCCAAATGCAACAGATATTAACCAGACAATCACAATGCCAATCAAAGCATGTCTTGTTGTCATGACAACAACATACTTGAAAGGGAATCTTATTGCAATAACACGATCAACTGTGACTGCAAACATGTTGGTGGCGGAAGCGACCATGGAGGTATGGCCAAGAAAACTTCTTGCTAAGTTCGCGTTTTCATCTTGTGTTTCCCCAGAGACGCTTTGGACGAAGTAGTAAATCGACATCGGCATAAACAGCGCACAGACTGACAAATCGGAAAACGCCAGGCTTGTGATGAAGAGATCAGGTATGGTGCGAAGGTTTTCATTGCTGTGGACGGCAAGAAGCACCAAAGAGTTTCCAAAACTTCCAATGACACTGGCCAAAGCGCAAACTATAGACAGGATTATCACGACATCTTTAGTTAAGAGGTCACTGATATTAATATCTGCTGCTGTTCCTTGAGGAAGGCTAGTGGAACAGTTCCAGCATGACTGGTTAAACGGGCTTAACGGGTTTTGAGCCATGTTGATCGCACTTGATCTACAAACATGGAGAAATATGATATTAGACCTAGCTATCTATAGATGTGAAGGTAAAGCCGCACTCGAGCCAAACTGGCCCACACTGCCGGAGCTTATCTCGGTTTCCTTAGCATGAAGCCGACTAGGAGTATTGGTACCTCTGGATGGGATGCTAGTCCATTGCAGGTTACCCCAGCATTGTTTCCGGTACCCATTTATACTCCTGGGTAGAGAGAGGCAAAGGCAAAACGCAAAACAGACTTGGAGAAAGTCTAAGATAGGCACTGTGAGAGTAAAGTTTCTTGCCCAAGAAATAACACACTGACCCAGGCCAGGGCTCGAACCCGGACCGCTCGATCCGGAGTCCTGCAACGCGCTAACCATTAGGCCACCGCGTCTCCCGCGATGGTTTAAAAACCCCTAGCTTGGTCCCAGTAGCCTTTACCAGCAAAACAGAGATTACTCGCATCTTCAAATTGTTTATTTGCACTCGGAGGGTTTGACAGCATTTTAAATCTGAATGTTAGCGTCATATTACAGTCTAGTCATTTGAAGAGGCCGGTTGAACTGATTTTACTCACCCTACCTACCATTTAGTGGTCAATATTTTCTCTTTTCCTTTTTCAAATAACAATGAACTTGCGTAAGTCTGCGGAAGAAAATGAAGAATACACCATGAGCGTATAAAGACAGCCACTATTCTGCAATCATTATTTTACGTTTAATATAGTGTAAAATGTTCCATTTTTTTCAGAGTGTCCCTTGTAAGTTCTCGTTATATTGATGACTAGCTAGTGGACATTAATAATGTCTCAATTCTTTTCATATTCGAAAAACTATGTTTATTTACCCGAAAGACTGCCAGTAGTTGTCTTCTGCCAACCGAAAATTAATTCATAAATAGAAGTTTGAACACCTTGCAGCTTCTGTTTGTATTAATTGAATCTAAGCTTCACAACAGCCTAAGTTGACCTATCTCGGCTGAGTTTGTTATTCAGCTTTTTAATAACAGTGCCTACCTTTGTTCAAAACGATCGAGTCCTGGTACGCATTTACAGTAAACACCCGCGTATAAGAACCTAGATTTTAATAACCTGTTAGGCTAAAATTTCCCATTAGACCCCTTTACATAAGAACCTGTTGTAGGCTAAGATTTTAAAGTAGGTTCTAATTTTCCATGCGGATGAAGACTTGAAAAGAAACACAGGTAAAATAAAAAAGATGAGCTCAACAATATCGACGAATGTACCAGCACCTATAACTTTATATACTGTAGCCCATCATGGGTATTAATTAGCAAAAATTGCATGTATAAGCTTATATACATTAAAAGTAGAAACAAGAACCTATTTAAGAACCTTTTGAGCCTAATTTTTCAGTAAGCACCATTTATATAAGAACCTATTGAGGCTAACTTGGAAAAATCTAGGTTCTTATACGCGGGTGTTTACTGTATTCTTTATAATATGTAAATGAGTTTTTCTCGCATGTTCATTTTAATGCAAATCCAACTCATTTTCTGATTTGAGTAGTTTCGCAGCAGGACTCGTTTTGAAAGAGAGGTAACTCGGAAATGACCTATATATCTTACTGTGCGTGATCCAAATCATGATTTATACCTTATGAACCCTCTACTCAGCTACATAGAAGGGGGGCTTGTTTTGATAACAGAGCAAATATTCAGTGAAGGTTATTAAATTTTAATTTTTTAACCAAAACAGAGTGAGTGATTTATTTAACAAATTCTTACTGGCACAGTGTGCCAATGAAGGAATTGAATTCCAAGAACAAAACGTAAATTCGCAACCAGCTGTTTTCGCCAAACTGCAAGTTAAAACATGAGTATAGCAGTATACTAAGCTGTTGTAGCTTGATTTCGGTTCTCTCTCCACTGCATGCATGAAAGCATAAATGTTTATGCGATCCCCTCCAGATAGCAGCTGCGTTTGCAAATGCCTTTTTCGAGCTTTGGAGGCCATGGAGAATTAATGTATGCACATGTTACGTGATCATCGGGCTGTCAATACTGTGATGTCGTGTAACCCCCAAAAACGTCCGTTCAGAATAGATTTACCATCATTCCAATCACATTTGGTAAGCCACCTGGGTGAGTGACAAAACTAGTAAAACTCGACCTTACAGACCCTCCATTTGTCAGTTGAACGACTCAACCCAGCGTTCAGTTTGGAGATCGGCGTTTATTAAACATCATTTTGACAGTGTAGTGTTTGTCATTAATATTGAAATTTAACAAAAATATCAACAAGACAAGAACAAAATGTCACCGACTTCGTCTTGAGTCAACTAAACTATAAAAATAAGTCGTGGAGAGGTTGCTACTCAGTGCAGTGTAGAGTACGGCACGCCAACATTTCTTGGAAAGACCGAAATAAAATGAACCGGTATTCCGGCAAAAAGGCTAAACGATTTCTTACGGTGGAATAGCGGCTTTAACAATATAATATTTTGAAGCCACCAAAGTGGATTTTCCTTTTGGCAAATTTGTTAGGTTGTATCTTCTTTGATGCCTTTTTATGCCTTTTTTTACGCAGTCGAAAAACAATACACACACCTAAACTAACTTTTTAGGAACTTGAGAAGCCAACCTGGACTAAATAATTGGTTCCGTCGACAAAAGGTGCCAACCTTTATCCTAGCTGATAACTATGGCGCCAGACAAATGCTTGCAAAGATCTAGATCTTTTGTGCGTGATAATGACATAATGTGTTCCATACGAATGGTCTCAAAACACGTCTAAATGGATGCGAAACCTATTCGTCGACTTGTGCGCCAAAATCATCAAAATTGAAATTGACAGCTCAACAATAATTCTTGAGAATTATTTACTAAAAGATGTTGCAGCTGTTAGTTAATGGTTTACGTAGCTTTTTGTTGAGCAAAAATAACATGACTGAATTAAGCTTGATGAGCTAGACGAGAATCTTTAAGATCTTTTTTCGCCAAAAAGTTGATTTCTATTAATCATGCAATGCAATGGTATAAAGAAACCAATTTTTGTTGGGAAGTCATACTTCATACAGACCAAACAATATGCAAACGATAACTAACATTCATCGAAAGTAGAAGCGCGGGGAATGTCATCCAAAAGAGAAGATTTTCAGTGAACTGTTTTAGTCTGAAATAGAACTACGAGATCGTATAACCCAAATTGTAATCAAGCGCGTTCACATATTACTTCAGGTCTGACATGGAGTATGGAAAATATAGGGTAAGGGTTTCGAGAACCGGGCGGCACACCACCACAAACGTTTCTATAAATTTATCCCCGGGGTAAGATGCCCGATGTTTTTTTTTAAATTTCGACAGAAATATGAAATTTTTTCAATTTCTTTACGTCAATGAAATACTATATTGCAAAACACGGAAGTTTAGAACTATCAGTAAAGGAAGCGAAGGTGCTGTAAAAACTTAAATTTGGACTAAATGACAAGTCCTGTTTTTCAGTTTTTTTTAATGATAGAATTTTCTATTATCGCCAATTTCTTTAGCACATTTTTTATTTCTTCGCAGAAAATAACACAATAGTGAGACGGTTTAAACTGATGCTCATGAACATATAGACTTGAACATGTAGACTATTAATTTTTAAATATAGTAGATAAGGCATAGATAAAGTATTCGCTGAATATACCGCAGCAATTGATGCTAGAACATTGTGTCTAAACAAAGGTCAAGTCTGGAAAACTTACCTTTTCAATTCAGCATGGATCAACTGCCAAGCACTGAACTAACCACATCAACAACAGAATACTATATAGCCAAGAGTGGCGGGCCACCTGCCGGGATCAGGTTGTCAGGGTCAACAGTGCTGTAAACACCAATCAGGAGGTAATTTGGTTTCATGCATAAACAAGAGAGGATGATCTTCCTCTCTTGGCATAAACGATTGACTCATGTCATAAGCTGGTTTTAAGCCGGAGGCGACTGAAATTATTAAAAAAGGCACGATATATAATCTTTTCTCAGTGTTCAAGCGAGCCCCAGCAAACGCACGATTGAGCACATTTCAATTAATGTTGTGCATCAACTGATCTCTCTATGAGGGACTTATTAGCATTTTAATTGTATACGTCTTTGTAATTTACATATAAATCTATGACCATCTCGACAGCTGAAGTGCTCTTAACTTTGCGGTGAACAAATTGGTGTTTTCCATATCAGCCTCAGTTCAAAAACTTAAACTACACTACGAGCATTACCTACTTTTTTGCATAGGTCATCGAGCTAAAAGCATATTAACTGAAAAGCGCGCGAAAAAATAAAAATGTTGTTGCCCGCGGCAATTTTTCCCGCTCGCTTTTTCGCTTTACGCTCGACGATTGATAAGGGAAATTGGCACTGCTCGTAATCTAAAAATCATTAACACAGAAAAACGGCAACCTCTAAACCCAGCTGGCTGGTATTGAAAGGAAAACGGACGGTGGGAGTGAAGCCAAATTGTAGTACCCCAAAACTTGAATCATAACAATATTATATTTGTATAACAATACAATTAAACTAGAAGGGAGGCTATATCGGGCACAAGCTGTCAAACATCATGATTTTCTTGAGCTCGTTGAAAATGAAAGTATAAAGAATTGTACGTTTCTTCTACATTTTGAAACTGCTTTTATATTAAAAGAGTTCACGGAGCTCAAGATAAACACGATGTTTTGCAGCTTGCAATTGTGCTCGAAATTGCCTCGCTTCTATGTTCGACGGTATTGTTATGCAAATTATTTAACCGTAAAAAGAGCTATTGTCGGAACCCTCCACCTTCAAAACACCATACTTAATTTTTTTTATACCCAACAAAATTCCTTTTATCTAATTAACATAATGATTAATCGGAAAATGCCATAAAAAAATTCATGCCATGTCTGATTGTCTGTAAACACACTCTTTATTAATAATCGGACGACTGCGTAGCGGGAGTGATTCAGTGTTTAATCGTTAAATGATTACAGACCCAATTGGACGACACAAGTTCTTGTTACCAATTAGGGTCAATTAGTCATATTTATAACAAAATTCAAGGACGAAATTTAAACTTAGTAAAGCCTACCAACAATCAATCATCTCTATGACAAAATTCGAGAAAAAAAAAGGCCTACCAACAATCAATCATCTCTATGACAAAATTCGAGAAAAAAAGTTAATTTTGAAACTGTTTTGGGAAGAAGGAGATGGAATATTCAGCCACAAGTAGGAACCCAGTCAAGTGCACGGCATGCGCTCCAGCTGCTCGCGCTCCAATTTGGTGAAAAATAGAGCGTGCTATAAGAACCAATCACGTTCGAGCATTTTGTTATAGTTACGATCGATTTGGAGTATGCTTTGAGGAATATGTGCTAAATAAAAGAAACGAAAAAAAAGAACATGAAAATATCAAAATTA